TATGCAGGTGGAGGGCTGGGGGACATGGCTTAGGGTTGGGGGTAGAGTGCTTGCTTAGCATGCATGAGGCCCCCGGGTTCTAGCCCCTGTGCAGTGGGTGGGGCGACACACAGAGAAGGGAATTACTTCCAGGTGAGAGAAAAAAGCCAGGACTAGTAACAGTAGAAAAGTTAAAATGGTAATTAAACAACACAAGACTAGATAAAGATTTTAAACTGGATCATTAACTGAAATTCTTCTGAAAGCTATGCTGGCCTATGAGGACGGTATCACTGAATTGACAGGAATTTTCTTAGGTGATTTTCTTAGGTTTAAAACACCCTTCTTAGGAGATGTGTGCTGACACTCTTGGAAGTGTCACAACGTCAGCACACCTGTCAAGTGCTTCAGCAAAACAAATTGGTATGTCTAGACCAGAAAGAAGATGTGGCTAATATTTTAATAACTGGCAAACCTATGTGAATGGTGTAGGGATGTTAACCATTCTGTACCAGCTTTCCAACTAGGCAAAGCCAGAGGGACAGAGTTCCAGCTGCCAGCAGCCAAGTGTGTGGGCGGAGGCTGGGGGAGAGAGTACCTCATTCCCACTGCACATCTGTCTTGTCAGAGCTCTCGGGCAAGAGGAGGAAAAGCATTGTCTCCTGCCCTGATACCTGTCCGATAGCTGGGTCCCTGGTGTAGGAAGGATTCTGTTAAATTACCCAAAGCTGAGAAAATGCCAGACATTTCCCAACAGTATAGTAAAAATATTCAGACTGGAGTTGATCTCATTCTCCACTGCAGAAGAATCAATCATCCTGTTAGTCTTAAGGTGCCTGAAATAATTGTTTGGAATTGGTATAAAATCCAGAAGTACCCTCTGCAGAGACACAAGATTCTCTCCAGGCGGGTACCAGCCAATGTACAGCAGGTGGACAACCCACCTTGGCCTCTCCAGATCACGGCCAGAGCCATAGGAATCCAGCAGTGTTCCATCAGGATTAGGAGGTAAGACGAAAATGGAAAAACAATACACATCCTCCCCTTGCCAGAACAGGGAAATGAGACCAAATCTTCCAGAACACTTAGAACACGGGAAAGAAGAGACAGTATCTACCGTCTGGGGATGGTAGAGGGTCCAAACCAGTTCTGAGAGCCAGTTCTCACTCCTTAGACCAAGGATTCTGTTCTTGTCCCATTTTTTTGGTAATAATATCCTCCTCCTCCCTCTTCCTGAGTCTTGGTAGCACGTGGCCAGAGCTGTTCTCAAGTGTTTAACTGAATGTGTGTCCTCAAAGGCTAAGTGGCTGGTGAGGTTGCACAAGGCACCCAGTCAGGAGGGTGAGGGCAGGGGGCACCTCTGCCACGTGGAGGTCAGAGCAGACAAAGGTAGCCACCTTAGCAGAGGGTGGCTGACCCGCAAGCTGGTCACTTGGACCACTAGAGTAAATAAAACCAGAATCTCTTTATTCTCAGCTGTTTCAGCAGAGAATAAATTTGGATCTAGTTAAAGCCAAATAAGACCACAGCTGGCAAAAGATGGCCTGGGGCCCAGCTCCAAGTGTTGGTCAGTCCCCAGTAATGATTAGACGCAGGAAGGATCGGAAGGAAAGAGAGACGCAATTAATTATCAAACTTTAATTGATAGACTAATCTTACAGAATAAACAATAAGACAGCTAGTCAAGGTTACACTTTAAAAAAAAAAAATCCAGCAGCGCAAATCTAATAGACTAAATACGTTCATCTCCTCCCAAACAGGCATTGGATTTCAAAACAAACCAGAACAGAGCGTACGCCACAAGGAAACATGGTACTTACACATATTGTCCAATAACTCTGCAGAGCTCTTTAACAAAGAAGAGAAAGGTTCTCAGAGACTGAGAAAGCAGTAGAAGCACTCAAGCACTCGCCGGCAGGTAACCGACCAGGTGTTTTGCACATCACGGGCTCCGGACCACCTGTGACTTCAGAAAGGCTGCCGGCGGGGAAGAAGGAAACAGGTGCCGACCCTAACTGCAGACGACTTCACCACAAGCCTTAAGACACAGGGACCATCTTCTTCCAAGACAACAGGCATGAACAGAGGCAAGGAGCAAGAGAGGTCCCTCAGCAGATGGGTGGAAGAAAGCCTGCCCTTGGGACTCCAGGTCTAACCCCTCTCCTTCTCGGCCCCTGGCAAAGAAAGGGTGGGCCAAAGGCAAGAGCCCAGCATGGCTCCTCCAGGCACATGGTTAAGGAGGCGGAGGAAAACGCGTCCCTTCTGGGTGAAATATGGCAACCTTTCTGAGCCGTGGCGAGGGAGCAGAGTCCAGCTCTCTGGCCCTCCTAAGGTCAAGCAGCAACTAAGGAGCCTACTGAGGGCCTCGCCTGGCCCCGAGCATGGCACAAGATTATAAGAAAGTGCATCCTCAGTTAAACTTCATTTAAAAAGAGCAAACGCCACTTGCAAAAGACCCATCATGGATTAAAATAATTCCCACCAAAGAGCTCCAGCAACTCACAGTCTAAGTCCTCTGACCAGGCTGACTGGAAAGGGTCTGATGGGGCTCAGCAGGGCTCCGAGGCTGCCTCACTCTGCCAAGTCTCCTCAGGGAGGAAAAGAAAGGCATGATGTCTGCGAGTGGAGATCTGGAGGAGGACTGCTTTACCAATTCTGGACAGCAAAGAAGCCCCCTGGGTGGCACCGAGACGACAGACCCCAGGGCAGGACCTCTGCATCTCAAGCTTAAGGTGACGCCCTCAGAAGCCTCTCTGGAGTCAGCTCTTCCTTTATCCACCTGCATGCCCCCTTCCACAGGGAGGGAAAGTTCTGGTCCCCTCAGACCTGACAGTGAAGGAATTGTACAGAAATAATCCTGAGGGAAAAACAAAACACTGTGTTGCTACCTAAAGGGGGGAGCACTTGGCTTTGCTCACACGAATTTAGGCAGATGTAAGCGATGGCGGGACTGAGTGACAAAACAGTGAGGACTGCTGGGACCTAGAGGTGGGTCTCTAACACTTCCCCCAGGGGCCTTGGTGCTGTCCTCCTCTGCTCTCCCGAGGGCTTCCAGCCAGGTCTCCTGCAGAGCTCAGGACTGCGACGACAGATTAAGGGAGCTCCGTGAAGCAGAACTTAAGAGCTCCACACGAAAAGGTGTCATTTACGTCATTATTTATATATAATATCTTGAAGTAAGGAAATAAGCACCATTTTACTGAAAATAAAAAGGCTCACGCAGGCTTTGGTCCTCTTGAAATGACACCAGCCTGAGTGAGAAGCAGTCTGGCCCCGGGGCAGCAGGGGGACAATGGCACACTCGCTCTGGCTGCTGTGAGGGAGGAGGGTGGGGGCAGAGGAGCGGCTGGTGGGAGGGGTCTCAGAGCCACTCTGGGGACAAAAAGACCAAAACTGGGCACATGGCACTGTCAGACAAGTCTCAAGGATGGGGACATCAGCAAACAAAGGGCAGTACTTAAACCCAGGGGACGCTCTGCTTGCTACCCGATCACTTCCCCTGTAGCCCTGTCAACCACAGGAGGTGGCTGGGACAAGCAGCAAAGGTGCACTCCTTTCCCCAGCGACTGCCAACAGGGACAAGAGCTGCAGTTACTGCTCCTTTTCCAAGCGACGGCAAACAGGCAGGTTCTTGGCCGCTGCACTTCACATCCATACCTTATGCCCCCAAAAAGCGAAGAGTAGGTTTTCCTGCCCAGATGCGTAACTTGGCACTGACTACACCACGAAAAGCAAGAGTCTGTCTATGTAGATTCCTGAACTACAGCTTAGAAGGGAAGGGCGTAGAATATCGTCGGTAACTGGCTCACAAGGAATAGTCATCTTAGGCAAACACATGCTAATACATTTCACAGAATGAGGGGGAACAGCTTAGAATCCAAAGTGTGAAGTTGGGAAGATTTCTTGCCAGACCTTACTATGAGAGCCTGCAACCAGAGAGAGGAGAATTGCAGAGACAGCAGCAGATACAGCAAACAGCACAGAGGGTGTCATCCACCAAGAGACTGTCCCTCATTTCAGAGTCAATCAAGCCATAGGAGATGACAGAAGTGTACATGTACGAAGAACATAAGGGCTGAAACCAGAGGAGAGCTGATCATGAAAGCAATTTATCCCATTTCACTGTTCAAACACCACTGGCCAACCCGCTAGGTCAGGTGTCTTCTTACTGAGAAAGGCAGCATCTCTGAACCTGGGATAAAGGACACTTGAACTTAATGCATGAGCAGAAGGACCAAATGGAGAAGCATAATTGAAATAATCATTGGACTGCTTAAGAATTTCTTGAAAACTTCCAAAGAAAGAAGGTCTCTGGATCTGTGGCTATATGGCTGCACAAACTATCTTCCACCTGGCTCCTTCTCCAAACTGGGGCTTTGGAGGAGCCCAGCCTAGGCACACCCAGGCCAGGCTGGGCCTCAAAGCCCCGCTCAGCGAGGGCTGCCCGTGACCGCTGAACAGGCAATGGAACGCCCCACAAGTTGGGGCCCGAAGAGCAAAACGTTTAGACAGGAGTCACTTGTGAGATAACTCTGCTGCTCAACACCACCACAGCAAGGGTGAGGGCTCCCTGACCATGACCCAGCAGCTCCCGTCTCCCATGTGCATTCCAAGCAGCAGCAGCACGTGGGAGAGAGCCCAGGAAAGGAAGCGTGGATGAGGTACCAAAAGAGGAACTGACATCTTTGGGTTTTTAAAACCAAAACTCAAACCTAGGGAAGTGAGAAAATTAAAAAAGGAAAGAAATCTCAATCAATCAATCAACAGAAAAAATGGCTTACTAACCCCCCACAACATTTTGCATACAATTTTATACCAAGGAAAACGAAAAAAATACCCCAACTCATCATAATGCAGTCCAAATGTTTGCAACCAGATTTATGAAAATATTTCAGCTGAAATCATTTTTTTTAAAAAAGACAAAAACAAAAACAAAACCCAGAAAGCTTTTCATCATTTCCTTCTCAACATAATTGGCAGATCTACTCTCAAACAGACTTAAGAGTATTCCACACAACATGTTCGGAATTCAGATTTATTGATTTCCACCATACTGACTTTAAAAATGGTATGAAGCTGACTGCAAGAAAGGGAATCGGTGATTTTAAGTTAAAATTAAGCTAATGGTGAAAGTACATCACCTCTGGCTTCAGTCACCACATCACCTCAGACTGAATTGAGATTTGTGTGTGTGAACAAAGTTCCAGAACTCTGAAATCCAGGGCTGCTGCAGGCCTCTCCAGCAATGTCCTTCACTTTGGGTCAGTCTCCTGGGCCAGAGGTGAAAGTGCTTTCAAAAATACTGCCATTTGCCCAGCACAGTGTCTTTGATTGCATCCACATATTGAGTTGGAACCCAGTACACCCAGTAGTAAGAGGCTTCCGTGGGGCCCAACTGAAACGCCTGGAAGGGAAAAAGGAAAACCAAGCCAACTTCAGAGGCGGGCGACCAAGCAGGCAGAACCACACACGGGGAGAGGGCTGGGAAGTGGATTCATTCAAAAGGGAAGAAAACAAAATGCAACTGTGCACAGGGGGACACTCTCCTAACATGTTTAAAAACCAGGACAAGAAAAGGGGGGTGGGGCTCAGCATGGCCAACCCCAAGGCAGAGGCTTGCAAACGTGCATGTGCAACAGAACCATCTGGAAGGCTCCTGAGAACAGACCGCAGGCTGCACCCCTGGAAGTTTTGGTTTGGGGCGGGGCCTGAGTAACTTCCAATAAGCTCCCAGGTAATCCAACACTGCTGAAGACCAGTTTGAGAACCGTTGCCCTAGAAAACCTGATACACATGCACAAGGAGAGTGGTGGGCACGTTGAGACAGCGCTGTCGGAGACGCTGACACCCTAGCAACAATTACACATCCGTCAGGAAGGGGATGCAGGATCCCGAGTGGGGTATGCTATTCACATAAACACTGGCGTGCTTTACAGAGGTATGAGCTGGTCCTTGTGCATCTAGAGTTCATATGACAAAACATGATGTCAAACGAAAAAAACCAAGTTGCAGAACAGCACACACCATGATGTCCTTTATGAAAACCAGAAAAAAAATACTCGATCTTGTTCGTCGACATATACATAAAAGAACTGTAGATGGAAAGACACACGAGGAATTGTGATGATGGGAATGGGGGAAGGGGAAGACAATGGGGACATCATTGCTGTTGGCAGAATTTATTTTTTATTTGAAGAAAAGATTTAAACCAAGTTACAAAGGATTTACAATTGATCTCAGTGATGGGGGATGGATGGCTTGTGGTATTCCCTTTCCTTTCCTGTACTGTTAGAAATTCATCTCCAAAAGTGGAAGAGCACAGCCACATTTCTCTAATTGTGAACTGTGACACATTTATCTAGCTAGAGAAATGGCATGTGCTTCAAGAGGGAAGTAAGTACTTTCATCAGCACAAAAGTGCTACTTAGCAGTGTTTAGAAGGAGGGGGGTGACTAGAACCACCCTCTGCCAGCAAATGACTCCACAGAGAAAGGAACACTTTTCTGAGGACTAACTCATTACTCCTGCACACTAAGTCCTTAAGAGATGTGCAGGGTGGTGAGCTCAACTTGTCTGTAATCCCTACCATCGGGCCGCCTGAAATCTGGGGCTGCCAACCCTACAGAGTCAAAATGCTCACACAAATTCTTCAAGTACAACAATGCAACCATTAAAACAGAAAAATAATGAAGGCAAATCAAACCTGTATGCAGTCATGTAGACTGCAGCGGAGCAGGGTGAAGGGCCGCGGATGGGCCTGAAAGAAGCCCCAGTGATGTTGTGGCCACTTCCAGGAAGGACAGGAACATGCAGCCCAGGGTCCCAACCACAGCCCTGCACTAGCACCACCATACAGGGCAGGCACAGGGACAGGCTGGCTCTCTAGCCGATTTCTCCCTTTAACAAGGAGATCTTCTGACAGATCCCTCTGCCATGGAATTCGTAACACCACCCGCTGGTCAAACCACTGAACTGCTCCTTCTCCTTGGGAGAGAGTGGACACAGTTGCATCACTATCCATAGACACCAAAAAACCTCCCTCCTCAGAGGGAAGAGGGCAAATGGTCCTGCCCTCACACCATTGCTAGCTCAGGTCAAGTCCCTCTCATAGCAACTTCGGAGTTTAGGCAGTTAAACTTCATGTATAAAGTGGCCCCTCGATCTAGCATAACTTCAGGCAGAGTTCAATATTCAGCACTGAAAAGTTACCAAAAAAAAAAAAAGAGGGGGGGGAACCCTTCAAATAGTGCTGGAAAAGGGAGCCTGGTCTACACTCTGCTTGCTCCGCAGACCTGAGGAGTGGCTCCAGACACACTGCCCGGGAAAGCACAGCCTGCACCCTGCGGACAGCGTGGCCCTGCGTCAGACACCACGAGGGAGACCACCTAGACTCCTCAACACCAAGGCCAGGGGGTGCTCTCTTTTTTAAAAGCAAGAAAAAATTAAAAATGAAATCCACAAGCCATTCCTCCTCTTCGTAGTTATTTTCCTGGTCTAAAAACAAAATATGACAAATAAGAGGGAGGCACAGGAGAGGTCTCTAACAGCACAGGAGAAATGTACCCCTCCAGCTGCGGGATGGGGCGGGAGGGGGGTGGCTGCAAAATAAACAGAACTGAGAAGAGAGTCATGGGTCAAGTTCTAAGTAGACAAGAAAACACAAGAGTCTTAACACAGTCCTTTGAAGACAATGTTTTCTCTTCAATAGCAAGCTCAGTTAGAAATCCACCCCCTGCTAGAGAAGGCAGAACAGGCACCTAGCTGGGGGCCAGGTCAGGCCAGGCCACTTACCATCATGTGGTAGTCCTCGTGTCCTTCAATAGGTTCACTGACCACATTTTTAATGGAGCCCATGGGCAGTTTCTCAGTTCGCTCTAGGTTGAGAGGGACGACAGTGGTTATTCAAAGGCCCCCCAGTTCCTTGGCTGCAGCAGTCCCTCCCTCATCAAGGCTACAGGATCTACAGTAAACTGCTCACAGCACCAGGCCCTTGAGGGACCACGGGGCAGCATCTTTAAATAGGTGCCCCTACATCCCTGCTTGGCAGCTGGGAACTTTCTTCCAAACTGGGGACTGAACTCTGGGGTGCACTCCTACTAAGCTCTATCACCAGCCCATTTGATTTTTTGAGATGGGGTTTTTCTGAGTCGCCCAGGCTGGCCTGGAATTTGTCATCTTCCTGCCTCAGCCTCCCGAGTGGCGGGTATTTCAGGCACTCACTACCACTCCCAGCAAGGAGACCTGGAATTTCGCAGGAGAAAATGGGGAACAGGATTTGGGAATGACGACAAAAGTTTCTGAGAGCAGAAATAGATCTTCCCTGGCGATAGTTTTCAAAGTCTGATGATTTTTTAAATAAATACCCAAGAAACTCCTTTATACCCTCACGGCCCAAGCCCAGCATTGGCTCAACTCTTGGGCGCCTGGCATAAGGAGAGTTAAGAGGTAAGGACAGAGGAGCAACAGTGTTCCCGGGGCTCTCACAAGAGGGAGGAGTGCTCCAGCTTTAAGGCCACTTTCCACACCATGCCCTGCCGAGCCTTCTCCCCAGGTGCGCACACATCAGGTGTTCGCCAATATCTACAACCTGGCGTGAATGCCGACTGAAACAACACCGATGACACGGGCTAAAGACGCTCTACAGAGCGAAGAAAGAGGTGGCGGACAGGGTGCCTGGAGTGAGATGAGCCTGCTGGGCAGGAGCCCCGTGCAGCAGGGTGGGTGTGAGGCAGGGGCGGGCATTCCCAGCAAGCTGAATCAAGGAGAGAAGGACCCATGGCAGCCTTGGCAGAAAGGAAAATCTGGAAAGGTAGAATGTGAAAACAGGCAAGCTGCCCGACTAGCAATTTACAGACAGGGTTCTGGCCTTGTTGCTGACCACGCTGGGGGCCCTGCCTCTGAAAAATGGGGGTCAGGGGCAAGGAACCCAATGATGTTCTCTCGGGCTTAGACTTTCCAGGTCTCTAAACCAGTGGTGAAGATTGAAACTTTCTGAAACAGCTTTCACCTTGAAATGTCTGGAGATTTCACATAAAAATATGGATTTCTGGCTTCTCTTGAAAACTTCAAAGATTGGACCTGCTGTGCCCCTGTTCCAGGGTGATGGCAACTAAACTAGATGAGAGTGCCACAAACAGGGCTCAGGCCTCCTGGAGCTGCGGGTGCTTCCTGCTCTGCTGTGCCCGAGGCCATCAGCTCGGCTTCCTCCTACACAAGCAGCAAGGAGAGCACAAAAGCCTGGGAGGGCTGCTTACTTAGCAAAGCACCCCACGGACAGGGATGGTCGTCCATAGCAGCTTCTGGCTGGTGGAAAGACAATGCCAGTGGCTAGCAGCCAGCTCCCAGAACAAGCTATCCTCCTCCAAGTACTGCCACTAATGACAGGACTCCTGGGCGAGTGGGAAGGGCATCTGCTCCCTGGGCTGCTGAGGCATACTGACCCCAAGGTCTGGGTGGGAGTAAGGTCTCAGGCTCAGCCAAGCCTGGACGGCACCAGGGCTGGTGAGGAAGGAGGCTCTCAATAGCTCAGAAGCCCCATGTATCCAGCGCCCTCAAGCCAAAGCAAGAAGGCGGCCACTGAAAACCTCCAACTGAAGGACAGGCAATTCTTAGTTAAGTCTGTCCACGTGGTTACTATGCATCTCCTACACAACTTCATAACACAAAAATATTCCTTGAGGGCCCAGCGAGCTTGGAGAGACTCAGGCCTCACCAGACCCCTGCTGCACCTACCCTCCTGCACATTACTGTCTTCCTGGATCCACCTTGGCAACTGCCTTCAAGTGGGCTGCCCACAAGCCAAGGGAGAAGTCTGGCAAGAGGCAGGAGGTCTATGTGCTCCAGCAAGTGAATACAATGATGGAGAACCAAGCGAGATCACCTGCAAAGCCAACACAGGCGGGGCAGCTGGCCGCTGATGAGGAGGATGGGGGGCAGGAAAGAGCGGTCTAGTGAAGGGCTTGAAGGCCCTTGGAGAAACCGGGGAGCCCCTCCAAATTTGCAAAGCTTGCTCTGACCATGCAGTTAAGCTGCATGTGAAATGGAGACTATAACAAGTTACCATAAAATGTTAGAAAACTCAAGCGCTTTTGGCATTTCAATCTGCTCATTTTAAGAACCAGCACAGAGTTGAAAATAAGAAACTTATTTTTGTGTTCTAGAATGTTCAAGATGATAAAAATCTCACTCCCCACCACCCTTGTCCCAAGTTTTATTTTCTATAAAACTTTGGTCCCATTTTAGTGGAGTCATAGCAAATGGCCTGTCCCTGAAACCAATTAGCCTCAGATAATGGGACCCCTATACTTCTCTTTAGCATTTACCTCGCACACTGAATACCTACAGTGCTGGCCAGAAACAGGTGAATTGTTCGGTTCCCTCCGGGAATCTAACGGGGGACAGACAAGTCAGAGAGTAATGAGTGCTCCGGGGACATGAGGAACAGAAGCGGCAGCAGTTCATTTGGAGGGGATGGGAGCTATCAGGGAGGCTTCATTAGGAGGGGGCACTGCGGCAGGGCCTCTGAAGAGTTCATTAACCACAGGAAGGGCACAGCATGAGCGAAGCAGAGAAGTTAGCCGAGACACACAGGGACAACAGGGCACGCAGAGCAGGCAACAAGTCTACACTGGGGCTCACTGTGAAGAACAGCAGCACTGGGTTCAGGCATTTGAACTTGGTGTTAAGGGGCCAAAGGTGTTTTGAATGTAGGAGCCAGTGACAAAAAGGAGTATATGACGGGGGGGGGGGGGCTGAGGCGGTGGCTCAGCGGTAGAGCGCTCGCCTAGCATGTGGGAGGCCCTGGGTTCCATCCTCAGCACCACATAAAAATAAATAAATAAAGGTAATGTGTCCAACTACAACTAAAAAATAAGTAAAAACAAAACAAAACAAGAGTACACGACGTGGACAGGACAGAAGATGACGGCCGAGCAGGGAGGTGGCCGACTTGCTCTTAACACAACTTGAGAGGTGTTAATATCCCTGACACACACACGCACGGTGGCCAAGAAAGGGACACAGACATTGAGGAATGTAACCACCAAGACTTTGTAACCACTAAGGGAAGGGAGAGCGAGCATGGTCGGAGACACTCCCCAGGAAACAGCAAGGGTGACCCAGACACTGCGCACAGCAGGGCGGAGGGTAGCAGGGCAGAGGGTACCTGGGCGGGGCGGGGGGGGGGCGGGGGACTCAGGCAGCAGTCAGGAAAACCTCACCTAGCACAGGTCTACTGACCTACAGGGACCAGGCAGGTGACATAATGAGCAAGCTGGCTACATGGGGAGAGGAGCACGGCCCACTGCAAACCACTACTCAGTTCTAGCTCCTCGGTGCCACGGGAACGCAGGCCTCAATCTTTTGATTATTTTTTTCCCCAAGAGAAGCCCCTCAAAAATCAGATTAAGTGAAATCTCCTGATTTTTGCAAATTGTGTCTAAGTAAGCCCATAAAGCCCTTTAAGGAGACCAGCACTTGGCCCTGGGCCACATGTTCTGGACCTCTGGTTCTCTGTGCAAGGAGCCACTGTTCAACAGGTCAGCTCTGGTATCAGACTGCACAGGAGCAAAAAGGGTCCAAACAAGACATGAGCATCTAAAAGCAAATTCAAAAGCCAGAAGCACACAAAGCAGTGAGGCGAGAGGTTCCAACGAGGAGCGGCAGCCCTCGGAGCCAGTGCTGCTGGGCGGCAGAGGCAGGCGTGGGCTGGGAGGAGGCCGAGAACCAACTTACCTTTAGTGCCAATCCACAGCTGGTCTTGTTCGAGCTTAAAGGTGAGTCTCACTTTTCCTCCAGACTTGTTATACATGCCGGACAAGGGTACCGTTGGCAGGCGCTCCTGGAGGCACAACGACATGGTGAGAGGGGCAGGGACAATCGGACAGAGAAAAGAGAAGGGACAGGACGTGAGGACACAATTACAAGACTCTCCAAAGGTGGAACTGGTTCCTTTCCAGATGGTCACAAAGAAGTCGGGCTTACCTGGGCCCCCTTGAGAGATGGCATGACGTCTTCAGGTTTCCCTTTATCCAGCACCTTCCTGTGTTGCTACAACACAAGCCAGAAGAGACTGTCATGTGACACAGTTGTTTACAATTTAGTCACATTGCTCTGTCTCAAAAATGGGATGAAGAAAGTCTTAACATTTTTGTGCAAAAGCCTTTAATGTTTGCAGACCATGATCCCTTGACACAGTGGAGCAGTGCTGTCCTTAGGAGTTGCTGTGATGAGGGAATCTTCCACACCTGTGTCAGCCATCAGTCAACATGAGGCTATTAAGCACTTAAAATGTGGCTAGTAAGACTGAGAACTGCCAGGTGTATGCTCCTAGCTACCAGGAAGGCTGAAGCAGAAGGATTACAAGTTCAAAGCTAGCCTAGGCGACTGAGCAAGATCCTGCCTCAAAATTTAAAAAGGGGTGTAATTCAGTAGTAAAGTGCCCCTGGGTTCAATCCCTGGTACTGCAATAATTAAACAGAAACAAGACTGAAGAACTGAATACTTAATTTAATTATTCAATCAGCTCAATGTAGCTATAATATCCAATGAACTTCTGGAGCAAAGAGGATTTCCAGATTGCTCATTCAAATGTTCTACTCCCTTTCTTTGCAAAAAGTCACCAATGAAAGGATGAAACACCTTAATAAGAGCTGCAAAGGGTGTTGCTCTTCTGGCAGGTAGAAAATGTCAGCAATACCTGTCAACTTCAACTCCCAACGAGAACTTCAAGATGCTGGTAATCAACCTAACTGCTGAGAAGGGTGGGGGTCCATCGCAGACGTCTTCCCTACTGCCCCATCCTTAACCCCAGCCTCAAAGAAAACCTGAGGAATTATATTTCCAAGCAGAAACACTGACTACTTTGACACTAAGAAGTCTCAAACCCCACTCCCACCCGACGCTGAGGAGGTGAGGCAGCTAATAGGGGTTCGAATCCATGGCCCCTACAGCTCTCAAGTCTCATCTTTTCTCCAACTGTGGCTTTCCAGGTCAATGCTTGGCAAAGCTGGTACTAGGGGACAAAGAATGGGCAGAGGGTAAAAATTCGGTCAAATGTAAGCACCAGGAACCATGAGCCAGCTCACTTACTCACTGGCATGCAGAACCTGTGGCAGGAATGAATGCCACACTGCCAGCAAAGAGTCACCCTGCACATCAGCTCCAGATACCTGAACGTGTCCATAAAAAGCTGAAGGGACTGGATCCCTCATTAGGCCATGTCATACCTCATAATAACTGGTGTCACTCAAACAAAGTGGCACAGGTGGGAAGCATAATTACGAGTCATGCCTTACAAGCACCTTTTGAAGAATCCTCCCTGCACTGTGAAGAACACTTCTAAGCCTGTTAAGCTACCACCAGTCACTTAAAACCTGTATTTACAAGGCATATTATGCTCTAAGGGTGTGACCAGTGAGAATGATCACTCAGATATGTTCATACATGTGACAGGGAAGGTGGGAAAAGAGAACACATTACAGGATATTATGACCCCTTATGTGGAGAGTGAAAAAACCTTCAAATAAACACCTTTTGGATGGTAATATAGGTCTATGATCCCTTATCTAAAATCCTAAGGATGGGTAGGAATGTAGCTCAGTGATAGAGTATGTACAGGGCCCCAGGTTTAATCCCCAGCACCAAAAAGCAAAACCAACACAAAACTTCCTATACACAGATATTTTAGACTTTAAGAGTTTCAGGGCTGGGGTTATGGCTCTGTGGCAGAGCGCTTGCCTAGCATGTGTGAGGCACTGGGTTCAAACCTCAGCACCACATAAAAATAAACAAAATAAAGACATTGTATCCATGTGCCAAAAAAAAAAAAAAAAAAGTTTCAGAAAATATACTTTCAAAATTACATAATATTCTATGGGGCCTGGGGGAGCAACCTGTCACCAGTATATTAATATTTCTAGAGCAAAATGTGAATATTCACACTCTAATCAGGTTTTGCTGCATATTTATAAAAGCACTCCTGGTTTTCAGAATCCTTTTGAAAACTTGAAAGTACACAAAAGGGATTACGGATTTCTAACACAAAATTGGGTTTCCCCATGTTGGCCATATATCTTAGTACCTATTGTCACTAAAACTGGTATCAGTCCAAGTTGCTCTCCTCTGCTTAGGACACAGATTAAAATGAGAACACCTGTTTTCTATACAAGGAAGCTATTCAGCAACAAGTGGGATTCACTGGGTAATAAGATCACGAACGATGATTTTCCTAAACTGTTCCCTTTACAATAAAATAATCTCACTTTCCCTAAAAACAAAAAAAGAATTTGAAGCTGGCATAGTGGTACATGCCTGTAATCCTAGCCACTCAGGAGGCTGAAGAAGGAGAACTGCAAATTTGAGGCCAGCCTGGGCAACTTAGCTAGATCCCGTTTCAAAACAAAATTTTTCACAAGGGCTGATGATGTAGCTCAGTAATAGAACACTTGCCAACCCCACTACAGCAACCAAAATAAATAAATAAATAAATAAGTAAAAATAAAAGGAATTTTAATGGCTACAATGATTACAAAACAAAGTTGGATCTCTTCTATCCAAACGAGCAACGGGGAAAAGTCAGGTCCTCGTTTCATGGTTCAGGAGGACAAAAAAAAAATAAATAAAAAAGTGTCATTATCTTCCTATTCAGCTTCATTTGAGTTCCTGAAATGGTCAGTCTCAGAGGAACTCTGAAATTTGTTGATTTCCATGCCTCTTCAGAATTACACTTGTTGACTTGAGAAAAGCCACAAACAAAACTCAAATGTAAGCACTTTTCAAAATGGAGGCTTAATACTAGTACTGACTTTTTTTTTTTTGCACTCAGCCAGATAGAGAAGCCCACATCTAATTTCTTTTCATATCTGGTCTGAAGCCTCCCTGTTCAAAGGCCTTATCCTAAAGTAGGTAGACTTGAGACACACTGACCCGCCAGACGAGACAAAGTTGCAAATCTCAGGTAGCTGTCACCTCCACTCTGCTGCACCCAACTGCTGCCATAAATTTCCATCAGGGGCCCTGTCCAAAAAGGAGCTTATTCTAGGGAGAACATCAACCAAGGCTGCAGAGGACAAAGCCTCTCATTTCTCAGGACCAACAAGCACAAGATGGACTCACTTTCTGCCTACAGAGAGGCTCCTTCTTGTTCTCTTCGGCCTTGGCGTCCTGCTGTGCAGCATCTTTGGGTGTGTTTACTGCTAAGACATCATTTATCGTAGAGCCAACCACCATGATCTTGGCTCCACTGGTCACTTTTATTTCTCTCAACGTCTTATCTTCAGGGACAAGTCCCTTATACATGACCTTCTGCATGGCAGGCGGGAGACCTTGGAGAAAGGTAGAGGGCAAAGAATGAAAGGAAAAAAAAAATGCACAGCCCATACAGTACTTTGATGATGGAGCAGGAAGTGAACAGGGGCTCCATCATCATCTGTTTGTTTTGTGAACCTGGGTAATTCACATCTGAGCCTCAAATTCCAGAACTTTCTAACAGAGATGAAAGTAGATCTTTCTGCACAGATTTGTTATAAGGATTAAGAGACAGGACAAATGCAGAACATTCAGCATAGTGCGTGTTTTTGCTCAATGAATTGCTCAATTAATTTTAGCTATCACAGGCTGGGGTTGTGGCTCAGTGGTAGAGCACTTGCCTAGCACGTGTGAGGCACTGGGTTCAATCCTCAGCCCTATATAAATAAATAAAATAAAAGGTACTGTGTCCATCTGCAACTAAAAAACATTTAAAAAAATTTTTTTAGCTATCACTGTTTCCAAATTGTACATCATCCAATCACTCAAATATTCAGGGAGGATTCACAGGTGTCAGGAATATAGAAGTCAATAAGGACAAAGTTACTGCTTTTACCCAGCTTACAGGCCACAGAGAGAAAAAAGAGCATCATTTCAAATGGTCAAGAACTATAAATGAAAAAAAAAAATAAGTATAAACGAGAGAAAATGAATACATATGAGTACCTGTGAAGGGTCAGCAAGACAGCCAACAGCAGTATTTCCTAACCTTTCCTTGTGAAAGTTGGATATCTAAGATTATATGCTAAAAAAATAAGCTCCTGGCCGAATCCCAAACCCACTGAATCAGAATCTCCAGGGGAAGGGCCGAGGTGCCTCAGGTGATTTTTACTAGCGACGTTACAGACTGAAAGAGTCGGAGCTGGGTTGGAATCTCGGCTCGGTCACTCGCTAGCTCTGGGATCGAGGGTCTCATCTGCCCAATATTAACCAGATGAGGAGAAATGCAAGCACTGACTTGGGAGGACCGAGGGGGCCGATGCACAGAGAGCAGCGAGCACAATGTCTAGTGCAGCGTAAGCACTAGACGCTAAAGGGGGTGGGGTGGAGGGAGCGGGCTGTCAGCGCCGAGATTACCTGTAATCGAGTGGATCTTCTGCTTCAGCTCGGAGCCCGTGCTGTCCAGAGGCACCCTCACGTCGTGCTTGGTCTTGTTCCAGATGATCTTCAGGTCCACCAGCTCCCTGCCCGCGCCGCCGCCCGCGTCCTCGCCGTTGCTGACCGAGGCCTGCGCCACGGGGTCCCCAGGGGGCTGGGCCGGGGCCGGCTGCAGACTGCCTCGCGCGTCGCAGGAATCCTCGGCCGCCGCCGCCGCAGCCCCCGCCGCGGCCTCGGCCTCCATGCAGTTGAGGGGCCGCGCGGGCGCCTCGGTGGCCACGGTCTCGGCCTCCGTGTCCATGCCAGGTTCCTCCATGCCTGCAAGGGGGTTAGGGGGTGGGCGCTCGCCGCCGACTGGGCCTGGAACCGGACTCTAGCCGGGCGCCGCCGCTTCACCGCTCCCGAAACACGCTCCTCCCTCCGGGTCCAGGCCGCATCCCCGCCCCGCCCGCGAGCGCCCGCAGCCTGGGTCCCAGCCCCGCGCCGGCCACCCCCTCCGCACTCACCATCCGGGGCTCCGGCCGCCGCCATGATGATTGTGTACAACACCCACCGCTCCCGCAGAGGCCGCCGGGAAGAAACGAGCTGGCTGAGATTGGCCCCCGCAGCAGCCCCTAATCTCTCTCAGCCTGGCCGGAAACAGGTGGAGGTTTCTATGGAGACCCGCCTCCTCCGCTTCCCTGGTCCTGCCCCTGCCACGCTTTAGCTTTCCCGAGCCTTCGGGGGGGCGGGTCCGGGAAATCGCCCGCTGGCTGGGTTCCGCCCCCTAGTGGTCGAGTTTGGCAGCTGCCGTCTAGGGGGCGTGTTTTCAAAGTAGGGGGCCTGCGCCTTTAAGGGGCGGGGCTGCGCTCTCTGGCAGAGGGAGATTGGCTGGGAGGAGTCCCCGGAAGTGACGCACTAAGACGCCCACGTGTGCGAGTCTGGCCCACATGGCGACGCTCCTGAAGAGGCTGCTTCGGCTCCGGACACCCCTGGCGGCCTTGGGCCGCTCGGTGGGACGGCGTGAGGCGAGACTGGGCATCGATCCCGGGGCTGCGGTTCGAGTGCGGTTCGCTCCCAGCCCCACAGGTAACCTTGGCGGACGTGACGCGGCAGGCCGCGGCCCACCTTCCCGTCCCCGCCCCCCGAATGTTCCTGAACAAATCCCTTCCGGTGGCGTCAGACGGGGAGCGCAGCGCGACCCCATTTTACGGAGGCAGCAATTGAGGTCCGGGAGCGGAAAGGTTTCGCGTTTCCGGGAACATCTTTGCACGTCTCTTTAGATCTTTTTTTTTTTTTTCCATGCATTCAATAAACGCGTGTTGAGTATACACCGTGCCACGTCCTGGACGTCAGGATGGGGGTCACTGAAAATGAAGTCTGTGTTCTAGTGGTCACTTACAAAAAGTGACTCCTGAGTCACAGGGGCCATGCGGGAAACAGAGCAGAGTAGGAAGCTGAGGTTAGGGTGAGATGCTCAAGAAGGCTTTACTCAGGAGATAACGTGTGAGCTGAGAACCAAGAACCAAGGGGGGTCTTCCTATGTGAAGCTCATGGAAGAAACCTGAGCAGAGGAAATGGGAGGTGCAAAAGCCCCGCGGTTAGGAGCATTGCGAGCTTTGCAAGCCAGCGAAGCACAGATCCATTGTGTAACCTGCTGAAGACCCACTTGTCTCCAACCTCCTGTCAACCCACCACCACACCAGTTCCCAACATTTTTTTCTCACCAAGGCTACTTTCTGCCCTCTTTGCTTTGCGCTTGGCAAGCCTTTCATTCCATACCCCGCAGCTAGCAGATAAGCATTTTTGTGGCCAAGTTTCAGGTGCACGTGACCACTTTCTATGCACGCTGTATCCTATATAGAGAGCAGTGTTTCTCAGATCATCCACGGTGGAAGCAGTGGTTTTTAATTTTCAGTTGTATTTTTACAATATAACTTCACCATTATATTGTAAAAATCAATATAAATGAAGAACTAGGAAAATGGAAGATCTGAAAACATAGGACATAGAAGCCCATTTATTTTTTTCAGTACAACAGACAAAAATTACTCTATTAAATTGCTATACAAAAAAAATAGTTGCTACATGTTTCGAAACCTTTACTCTTTCTATGCTTGTCTGTTGTGAGCTGGCAACAGTTTGCTTATCAGCACTAGACTGTGCGCCTTGCTTTTAGGAGTACTTAACTGTAGAGTGCCAAGTCCTAGGATTGTCTGGATCCAAATTTCTCTCTCTGCCAATTCCTAGATGTGTAACTTAGGCAAATTACTTAACATCGCTGAGCCTCAGTTTTGCTGTCTGTCAAGTAGAACTAATAATAATAGTACTTGCCTTGGGTTTGAGCCAATGTAGCTGAGCCACTTAGTAAGGTCTAATCTTATAAAAGACATTTGATGAACAGTACCCTCTGTTTTGATCATTATAATTCCCATTTCCCTGAAGATTTGCAGGAAGAGTTCATTTGTATAGGAAAGCTGTTGACTACAAACAGATAAAAGAATTATCAAGCAGCATAGATTAATGTGCTAGCTAAAAATTAATTGAAGGTATATTTCAGCAGCAAGCATTTAGATATCACAGCAACCTCGTAATAAAGTGTTTTTTTTTTTTTTTTTGATACTGTAGGTACCACTACCACAGGGATATTCTACCACCAAGCTACAACCCCACCCCCCAGCTCTTTATCTATTTATTTAGTCTTGCTAATTGCCAAGGCTGGCCTCTAATTTTCAATCCTCCTCCTTCAGCCTCCAGAGAGAGTGGGATTACAAATGTGTGCCACCATGGCTGGCCTATTTTTTTTTTGTTTTTAATCCCTCTAGCAGATAAGGAAATTAAAGCTCAAAAAATTTAAGTAGAGTGCCCAAAGGGTAGCAACTGGTAAGTGATAGATGCAGAATTTCAATCCAGGTAAATGTGATGTCAGAGGCCTTGTTTTTAACTATGAGGACTGTGTCCTTCATGTTCCTGGTACCCAGTGCCATTGAACACCACTGGTTTTGTGGTGGCAAAGGTCACACACAGAGTCCATGTTGAAACAGGAGGAAAACTGTGCTCCCTCAGATACCTGGAAATGTAGATGAGCTTACTGTGGAGACTCAGGTCTCTGGACTAGACCAAAGAAAGTAAGGGGAGGGGAGGTGACAGCCATAGGAAAACTTAAGTTCTCAGTGAAGAATGATGAAAAAGTAAGTGTGTGAACTCTGGGGGCTGGGGTTGGCGCTCAGTGGTAGAGCGAGCGCTTGCCTAGCACATGTGAGGCCCTGAGTTTGATCCTCAGCACCACATAAAGATAAATATAAAGGTATTGTATCCATCTACAACTACAAAAATATATATATATTTTTTAAAAAAAGTTTAAACTCTGGTGCAGGAAAATATTGTAGAGTCAAATTTTGTTTTGGTTAGTATTTAAAGCTAGTGCTCAAGTATGCAAAATTAAATTATCAGGTGTGCATAGAGTATATATGCAAAATAGGATTTTAAAGTTTTTTCTGGAGGGGGAGTAACTGAGAATTTAACCCAGAAGCAGTTTATCTCCAAGGCTGACCTTGAACTTGAGATTCTCATGTCTCAGCCTCTCAAGCCACTGAGATTACAGGTATGCATCACTGCACCAGCTATAGAATTTCAAATTTGTTATTCACTTGTAATTAACTTGGTCTCCCAAACGAGACCAAGGCATAAGTTAAATGCCTGCGTGATATGGCTTCCATGGGTAATTTTCTACCTCTCCTTGAGGCAAATATCAAAGTAGAGTGGTGGATACATTTGGGGACAATTGGAGCATTTTTACAAAACGACAGGCTCCAGAACATGGATGATCTTCCACTTCCAAGGTGAGAACTTAAATGAGTCCACCACCCAGTCCTCTTTTGTGACAGTCTGACTGTCTGGTTGATGGTCAGGGAGACGGGACAGGCAGAGCCATATTTGGTCTTTGAAATGCATTGAGACATTCTGTCACAAGAAGAACTTGTTTGCCCCTCAGCTGAGACTTGTGATTTCATTTTCCCTGACTTATCTGAATTGTTCTTTTCCACTAGGCTTCTTGCACCTGGGTGGCCTCCGCACTGCCCTGTACAACTACATCTTTGCCAAGAAGCACCAGGGGAGCTTCATCCTGAGGCTGGAAGACACGGATCAGAGCCGCCTTGTGCCTGGGGCAGCAGAGAATATTGAGGACATGCTGGAGTGGGCAGGTGAGGCTGGCAGGGAGAGGACCCATCTTCAAGGAAGGAATAGGGAGCAGGAAAAGGAGTCTGTAGATCTTCTCATGGTGGAGAATGGAAAAAAGGTACATTTATGCTACCTGAGGTGGCATTTGCCACCTGGAAAGATGCCAGGGCTCCCTAAAGCAAGCTCCAAGGCTGTTTGAGATTCCTGTTCTTATCTCAGAATCTCAGGTCCATTCCCTACCAGGCCAGGCAAGACTCCCAGGCCAGTGGGAACTGGGGGGCTGGGCCTGTGGTGAGCAGAGGAGGCAGGCGTCTTCCAAGAGGCAGTGCCTCTGAGCTGCAGCTCCTGGTCCCACGAGAATGTGGCCCAGCTTGTCCAGTCCTCTGGTTCCAAGAGGGACAGAAGTGCAGTTTATTTATTTCTCATTTTTATTTTTATGAATACTTCCCATTGTTAAGTCTGAGCTCAGACTTTTTTTTTTTTTAAACCACATTATATGAGCCAAACAAAATATGTGCAGTCTCTGAAGTTGATCTTGTGGAAAGTTTAATTCTGAGGACAGCTAAGCTCAGGGAAAACAAGGAGGAGTATGTTGTGTTTCCCAGGTCAAAACAACCCTACAAACCTCTGCTAGAGACAGGTATGACTGGTCAAAGTTAACAACCCTAAGGGAAAATACCAAGATTGTTTTGAGATGTGTGCTCTCATCTCGTGTAAATCATTCACTAGATTCTGAGTTTCTAAAGGGCAGAAACCATTTTATTTATAGATTCTATTATAGGTTTTAGCACATATTCCTTTGAGGCTCATTGAATAAAGGAATGTATTTAGTAAGATCACTCATTGTGATCCATGTTCCAGTCCAGGTGCTGGGGACATTAGGTAAAGACCCAGTGCTCATGGAGAAGGGACAGACTCATCAGCTGGTTCCTGTTGACCTGATGTTAAGTGATGATAAGAGGTGTGGAGAAGGGGTGGGGGACTTGGGTGAGGAGTGCTTATTTCAGTGGGGTAGTCTCTTCTGAGGAGGAGTCATTGGCATGGAGACTTGAATGAAATAGGGGCCAGTCCTGGAATCACCTGAGGGGAAACTGCTCAAAGCCCAGGGAATCACAGTGGCAAAGTTCCCAGGAAAAGAAGTGCTGGGTGGATCTGAGAAGTGGCCAGGAAGCCAGCGTGGCCTCAGGGCAGTGAACAAAGCAGGGCCATCGGAGATCTGAGGACGGGGGTTGCCTGGAGCTAAAGCAAAGCTGAGGTGAGAAGCTCATGGAGCTCCTGCCATGTGTCCAGGTGTTGTGCTGGGCACGAGGGGTAGAGTGATGAGCAGGCTGATGGTCCCTCGCTCCTGGAGCTCCTGGTGCAGCCTGATGGGTGGGTGAGGTCTGAAGCCCCTCGGCAGAGCACACCCCTCCGCACTGTTCTCAGGGCAGAGAGCAGGCCCCCAGGGTGGCTGATGTCTAGATCTCCTCACTTTGGGTGTCATTTTTTTTTTTAAACTGACATATAATTTACATAACTTGAAATTCACCCATTCAAAGTGTACAATTCGGTGGTT